GATTAATTACCCCTAAATATTGTATTTTTACAGTTTGTCGCCGATTTTGCCCTTCCTAATTTTACCTTAAATTTTCTCCTATTTCTCTGCATTCTAAAGTACTTTGGGCATGGAGTAACTTGGGCTTGGGCTTGCAATATTTTATATAAAATGAGAGATGACTTTATTTGCTTATAACACAACATTTATAAAAATTACATACAGCTAAAACTCCAAATTAATTCCCATTTAAATTCATAAATAATTCCTCTAAATTTAGTCATAAACATTTGAATATTTTGGGGTTTTTTAATAAATACATCATCAGAATTTACTAATTCATGATATAATCCATTTTCATAAATTATTTCCAAAAAACTATTTTCTAAATTTTCAGCTTTTTCTTTAACATCTTTTGCCAAATTTAAGATTTTTTTGTAAAATTGTTTTGCTTCTTTAGGCATAAAATGAATTTTTCCATTAATTTCCCATTTCCCCCCACATTATTCTTCATTTTTTTCAGCAATTAGTTCTCTAATTTGTTCAATTTTTTCATTTTGTTCATCTTCATTTTTTAATTTTATCCTAAATAACAAATTATTTATCTCGGACCAGTTAAAATTATTTAAAATTTTATAAATCAATCTTAACTCTCTCTGTTCTCGGAAATACGGGCATTAGTAAACATAAAACAAGACTGTTATGTCTGTCCGAGACTAACAATATTTTACTCTCAAATTTACTTGAGGAAATAACTTTATTTCTTTTTATTCTAACTCTTAATTAATGAGGACAACAATTTATTTAATATTTTATTTTAGTTTTAAGTTTAGTTCAATTGAAGGTCCAAAATGTATAAAACAAATGAGTATTTATATGGGTACAATCAGGCGGGGATTGAGTATGTTTGGAATGAAAAAGTTTGATAAATATTATAAAATAGTTAATTTTATGAGGGAAATATTTGAAAGTAAGTTATTAAGGAAAAAAGAGTGGCAAATGTTGTGAGGGGAAACATTTGAATATGATAAAGGAAAGGTTTTAGTTTAAGAAATTATTTTACATACATAAAGAAGGGAAATATATAGATTATGTGTTGGGGGAAAAGTTTAATGTAAAAAGGTCAAAAATATTTAAAATAATATTTGAATAAACGATAGCTCAGACACATTAAAGACAAATCCCAAATAATTCACAGCATGACCTAGATTAGCATTAGAGTTCCGGCTCAAGGGACTTATAAAGATCCAATTACATTTAAAGATTTTGTAATGATATTATAAATTAAAAACCAACAAATTCACTCTTTGTTCATTAAAAATATGAATTTTTCTTGCATGCAGTATAGCCTTTAACGTTAACTCATTCAGTCCAAAATATCTTTCTAATTTTTTTGCGGATATATTTCCATATAAATGTAATACACACAATCCTTGAATAAAAGTTTCCTAAATTTAAAAAATTTACTAACGGAAACTCCAAAAGTAGGCTATGAAAATTCTGAATACTCTGAAAATTCTGATCAATTTTCAAAATACCTCCATTTCATTTTTTGATCTATAAGTTTGCTTGTGTTGTTCAAATGCCTTTTTAAATTCAGAATAATCTTTCATATAATTATCAAGAATCTTATTTTGAGTATCGGCATCTAAATAAAATTCTCTTTTTATTTCTATTTCGTTTCCAAAAATTTTATTTTGGCATTTATTTATCTGAGTCCTCTTGTTCTTTGCCCACATATTTTTTTGACTAGTAGAAGTTCCTTCGATTCCTTCATTATTTGTCTTGTTTGAATATCTTTGTTTCTTTCTTTCCTATATTAAAATTCATTATTAATATTGCCGATATCAAAAACGTTTTTTGAGATTTCCCAACAGAATTTACAAGCACAGTTTTATTATACTAAGTCTTTGATGTGGATTAAACTGCTAAATCCACAGAATCACACAATCAGTGAATACTTTAAGGCGAGATAATACTATTTCATACTTTGCTCCAAGTAGCGAAAATCCACAGAGTGTTGCAAAGAATGCCACGAATGCCATTCCTACTCGTTTAAGCAACGATTGGGATTACAAGGATTTAGGAGTAACCCCGTTCGATCATTTAAAACCTCGATCTTATCTCGGAGGTTTGCGGCGCATGTCTCGGCGACTCCAATAGGCTTGATGTAAAGTCCGAAGGTTGTCCGAGGTTTACCAATACCGACGTGGACAGGAATAAAGTTTTATCCGATTTAGAAATGTAAAATGTATGTGAAGATAGTCTCAAATAGGTTTCTAGAATATAGGGAGATAATAAACTTTATTCTTATTTTAATCTAATGATTGTTGTGTCCTTGCAGAAAGAATATAAATGAAAATAAATAACTCAGCATTTGGTTGGATGGTGGCACAGTCGGTTGTGCTTCGGTTTGGGCTCTTTCCTTGATGGTTCAATTTTATCTCCTATCCAAACAATTTTTCCACCACAGCATGAAAACATCGTATGTTATAATGATAAAACACGATAAAATGCCTTTTTTCTTTCTATCAGTAGTTTGAATCAAAATTAATGTCCTATACAATCAAACATTTTATATGGTCAATCTCTTAACTAAGAACGCAAACTGGTTACCTCATTATTTTTAATTTTTTTCCTTACCTTCAAAGTGCCAAAATTTAAATTAAAAATATAATGTGGAATTAAAAATATAAAGTGATACCTTCAATATATCAGAATCTTCTGATAATGAAGTTTCAGATCCTTCAGGATTATATTCCTCTTCAGAAGAATCATTTGCAGCAACAGAATAAAGTAAATAAAGAATTAAATTTAATAAAAACAAATTAAATTTATTTCTTAGCATTACTTTAAAATTAATTTAAAAAATATTTTATTTAAAAATTTTAAATTTTTTTAATATTTCAAAATTTTAAAATGGCAAAAATAAATTATTAAAGGGCAAACCAAAGGTGGATGCTAATTTATTTTAATTTTTTAGATGCGCTAAATAATCTATTAAATTATTCTAGGTTAAAATTGAAAAAGGGCACTCGTTGATAGAGGGCAGAGTTAATAGTACTATATCATGCGAAAATGTCAATAAGTCACTAATAAGAATGAATAATAAAAAGTACAACGCAAGATAGTTTTGCGTTGCTGTACTCTGAACAAAGTATTTTATTATAAGTAATGCTAATTTATTTTAATTTTTTATTTTTCTTTTAATTTTTTATTAATACAAGTAGTATATACTGGTCTTATGAAACAAAATCAAAAAAACATTTTTGTTTTAATACCAACGGCAGAAAGTTCTTGCATATTTGAACTCAGCTCGGCGAGATGAATAGAATGGTATATATCTTGAGTTTCGATCTCTGTGGAGCTATACTAAAGCGACACCGTCTTTTATTTTTGAAAGGCATTATGCCAGCTTTCCTTATACCCTCCCCCCATCCAAACAAAATCAAAAAAACATACCCCATCACACATACCCCATCATTCTCTTTTTCTACTCCATCAATATTGAGTGGAGGAAGGGATAGTGTTGGACTCAACACCGTGCCTCTCAACTCACCATGCCATCCTCTCTCCCCCATTTTTTATTTTTGAAAGGCATTATGCCAGCTTTCCTTACTCCCACCTCCCCACATTCCCCATCACTCTCTTACCTTTTCCATCGCTGGCTGTAGTTTAGTATATACCCACAGAGATCGAAACTCAAGTTTATACCATTCGATTCGTCTCGCCGAGCTGAGTTCAAATATGCAGGAATTTTCTGCCGGAGACGAAAACTTAGCGAGATACAGGCGATTGAAAATCGACAAACCATAGGGGGAGTAAGTAAGCTCAACAATAGAGCAGCTGTTGACAGGAATACGGACCATCAAGGAAGGAGCAGCAGTGAAGTGAGCACATTCACTTTTCCACATCAAATAACACAACTCCGTCAAAAAAGTATATTTTCCACACAAAACTACTACAAATAAAGGTGGTTTGGAATAAGGACAAAAAATGTCAAAAAAGGAAACTTTGAATAAAATAAATATGAATAAAATAAACTTTGAATAAAATAAATATTTACCAAGACTAAAACTATATTTAGAATAAAAATAAAACATGAATTGTTTCGTAAAAAATGATACCCGAACCCTTGACCCGAAATGCAAATTTTTTGACCCGAAACACGTACCCGAAATGAAAACGCTCCAGCCCGATACCCGAAGACCGATTGGGAATATCAGGGAATTTTGGTGGTTTAGTTTAACTTAAGCTAAAGCTTTGGTTGATTAGTAAGTTATGTTAAAAGAAAAATTTGATGGAACCGCCAACCCTACTTAAAATGAAAATTTTTCAAATTTAATGGTAAAATTTTTTATAGTTCCGGTTTCGACCGGAACCGAGAAAAAGTTCAGGTTCCGCTTACGGAATTCGGAACTCAAATTGGAATTTGTTCTAGCTCCGGTACCGTTTAAAATTTCGGTTCCGATAAACCCAATAAATAGGCTAGGATTTTTAATTTCCTTTGTGGGATAATTGTTGGAGTGAAGGGGGGGGAGAGGTTTGGAAGAGAAGGGAATTTTGGTAGTAATAATGGTAATTCTTATTTGTCGCCCCCCCCTTTTTTATGCTTCCCTGACCAGTTTGAGCTTTTTTGCTTTGACATATAATAATTTATATATCATTCGAAAGAGCTATCCGAGCTGACTTGATTGGTACTATGATTGGTTAGATTTGGCAATTTTGAACAAAATTATGAAGCTAAATCCTTTGTGGACATGTTTTTTGTGATGTTGAAAGGAAAACAATTGCTCATAACTATGTTTATTTAATTCAGATTTCGACGATTCTAGTGCCGTCGATTCAGCTCGAAGTGCTCTTTCGAATGAGTATAAAAGTTCATAGAAATTTCATGGAAATGTAAAAAAATAGAACATAAAAAAAGGGGGGGCGACAACCGAAGAATTACCTTAATAATCTTTAAAAACCCCAAAAAATAAAAAATGATCCTTGAAATAAATCTGTAATTGAATCTCGTTTTTCAGAATGAAATATTCCTTCTAATTTCTTTTCAAACGATCAACAACAACATTCAATTCTCCATCAATATAATTTTCTATAAATTCCTCAACTTTTCTTGTTATCATTTTCTTTGTATTTTCCGAATACTTTTCATTTAATTCTAAATTATAAAATTCCTCAGGTTTCTTATTATATTCGTTAAATAATTTAATTAAAATATAAGCAAGTTCAATATTTTCCCCTTTCTTTGTCTCCAGATAATCTATTTCAGTACTTGAATAAAAAAATTTGATGAAATTTTCATTCTTAGTCATTGAATTTAAAAATTCGAGTAATAAACGAAATAATAGAAGATCACAAATTTTGTTAGCGGATTCTTCAGCGTTGTGAACATAAATGCTTGACCTTTCTAGAAATTTGATAATTGATTAAAATAAAGTTAAATATATCAAACTTGATTAATTAACCCTAAATATCGTATTTTTAAAGTCAGATCCTTCTTTAAGAGAAAGAAAGCTCTGCGGTACCTTGTCTTGCTCCCGCAAGCATTAATAAAAATAAGAACTCGCTGTATTTACTTATAACTAGATCTGTGATTTTTGGCATCAGGTATAAAGCACAAAAACCTTTTCAAGCTTGTTTTTAAAACTTTAGAGGGGTATAAACCTCAAATGTTTAGAAAATTCATTTCTAAAAATTACATACTTTTAAAACTCCAAATTAATTCCCATTTAAAATCATAAATAATTCCTCTAAATTTAGTCATAAACATTTGTATATTTTGTTTTTCTCCCTCTATTTTTACATCAGCAGAATCTAAAAATTCAGAATACCATTTATTTCTTTTAATTATTTGCAAGAAATCGTTTTCTGAATTTTTATTTTTTTCTACATCTCTAGCCAAATTTAAAATGTTGTTAAAGAATTTTTTTGCTTCTAATGGACGGAAATGAATTTCTCCATTAAATTCCCATTTTCCTCCACATTTTTCTTTACTTTTTGCAGCAAGTAGTTCTGTAATTTGTTCAATTTTTCCATTTTGTTCATCTTCATTTTTAAATTTTAATCTAAATATTAAATTATTTATTTTATCTAATTAAAATAATTTAAAATTGTATAGATCAATCATAACTCCTTTTTTTAGAAATACGGCCATGGTTAGATACGGCCATTGGCAACTTATATCATGACAGCTCTCTCTATCTATCTTCTATCTTCAAGAAGCTTTTAAGCACACACAAACAAGAGTTTATCTCCAGAAGATAAGTAAAGTAGACTAAGATATATTGGAGTATACACACATGAAAGAAAGCTTCATTGAAGCTATGAACTTCTATAGTGACTCAAATGTTAAATAAAAAACTGTATTTTAAGAGCACAAATAAAAAAAAGCAAATCCATAATAATTCACAGCATTCAAAATTTTTTAAAAATATTATAAATTAAAACTAACGGTTTTCCTCCTATATCATTAAAAATATGAATTTTTCTTGCATGCAGTATTCCCTTTAAAAATACACGATCCATTTTAAAATATGTTTCTAATCTTTTTGCGGGGATATTTCCATATAAATGTAATACACACAATCCTTGAATAAAAGCCTCCTAAATTTAAAAAAAATTATTAACGAAAAACTCCAAGAGTAGGATCTGAATATCCGATAAATCGGTAGATCAATTTTTACAAATTAAGTTTCAATCATTTTCTAGATTTACAACATCAGTGTAATAGTTCTTATCGGCAATTAATTTTCAAAATTAATTTTTGTTATCAATTATGAGCGTATTTGAAAGTCAATTAATTCCTCTGGGGAATTATTTTTTCAACCCATCCGTGGCATGGCAAATTGTTCAAGGGAGGGGAATTATCGAGTTTTGAAATTTAAACGTGTAGTAGGGTATTTGGGGGAGGATTTTTTTTAAAATCTTGGTTATACTCAAACCTCGACCTCGATCTCAGCTTTTCCAGCCTCGGTGATCATTGGTCTCGATTTTTTCAAAAAACCTCGACCTCGACCTAATCCAATTAAAATACCTCAATTTCATTTTTTGATCTATAAGTTTGCTTATAACGTTCAAATGCCTCTTTAAATTCAACATTCTCTCTCATATAATTATCAAGAATTATTTTCTGTGTATCTGGATCTAAATAAAATTCTCTTTTTATTTCTATTTCGTTTCCAAATATTTTATGTTGGCCTTCTTTTATCTGATCCAATTTGTTCTTTGCCAATATATTTTGCAGACTAGTTGAAGTTCCTTCCATTACTTCATTATTTGTCTTGTTTGAATATCTTTGTTTCTTTCTTTTCTTTTTTTCTTCCTTATTTGTTTCGTTTGAACATCTTTGTTTTCTATCTCCCTTTATTAAAATTACGGGTAATTATTTCGGATATGAAAAAAAGCTTTCAAGATTTCCCAACATAGTTTCCCAGCACATATTTTAGTATAACTAGTCTTTAGTGCTCAGTAAACTGCTAAAAATATAGAATTAGGGCTTCTGAAAGTCGGGGAATTTGAGGCATTTTTTGAATAATAGTTTTTATAAAATTAATAGTTCTAAACACCTGTTAGACATGTTAAAAAGTTTTCGAAAATATCATAATTTTAAAAAACGCCGAAGCTTTCAGCTGAGAAAAAATTAAGCTCTTTTTTATCATTAAGAACTCCCAAATCTGATAACGATGAACGGAATTACACAAAAGTTACACTTTTCTTAAATAATTACCGCAACTGTAGTTCGTAAATTTAAATTCTGCTCTACAAACATTCATAGAGTGACTAATAGGAAAAATGCACAGTAAATTAGAAATATAATGTGATACCTTCAACAAATCAGAATCTTCTGATAATGAATTTTCAGATTCTTCAGGATTATATTCTTCTTCAGAAGAATCATTTGCAGCAACAGAATATAACAAATAAATAATTAAATTTAATAAAAATAAATTAAATTTATTTCTTAACATTCCTTTAAAAATAATTTTGAATAAAATATTTATTTAAAATTTGCTCTCTTATAAAATATTAAAAATTTTGAACTGACAAAATCAATCACTTGTCAGATAACGATGGCTTTAGACAAGCAATAATAAACTATTGATTTTAATTTTATTTAGATAAGAGTTAAAACTGACAATTTAAAAAATGATAGATATATGCATGTGCAAATGCCAATAATTTTCAAAAATTACATAATAATTTTTATAAATTAAACAAAAAAATTTAGTTATATAAAAACAAAAGTTGAATATTTTTCATTTTTCACAAATCCAAGAAAGTTCTCATTTTCTCAAACCAAATTAAATCAGATATAACAATCTAAACAATCTCCATTCACAAATGGTATTTGTATGATATCAAAGCTCGACAACTCCAATAACACATCGACTGACGGTGTTCCAAATATTTTCTATAAAAATTTAGGAATAATCTTGTCAGTTTACTCACTCATATTTTTTTACTGTCAATTCTCATCTCCAAAATACCATAAACTTGCAAAAAGCTATTATAAATCCAACTCATTATTAGTTGAAGATCAATTAAACATGTATTAAACATAATGATGTATGAAATACCTTTAAGTGCTGCACAGTGAGAAGTGAAACCAAAAAGATAGTGAATTAAAAATGATTGAACAATTGTCTAAAAGTAGAAGGCCAAAAGTAATAAGTAGAGCTGTGAATTTTATGCATTAAAAATGCAAAATATGCACAATAATATGCATGAAAAATTGCAGAAATATGCACGAAAATATGCAGGAAACCCAAAAAATCCACGCAAATATGCATGAAAATACGATTTATAACTAGAAATTTTACATTTTTTGTCAAATACATTCAAACACCTATTTTTATTAAGATTACTCCCAGTTTATATGTTTTGTTTAAAGCTAGGAATTTTGAAAAAACCGGGACCGGGTCCGGGTAACGGGTTCTGAAAAATGGACCGGCCGGGTTCCGGGTCCGGGAAACCGGGAAAACCCGTTCCCGGCTTCAACCCGGTCTAGAAATGGGCGGGTCCCGGCCGGGAAACCGGGTAATTTTTAATTTGTTGAAATGGGACTGTATTTTTCCACATGAGGCTGTATTTTTCAACTATCCTCCTATACTTATTCTAAATAACCTCTATTAATGCAAGTAAATGCCATTCACGATCATTTAACCCAAGATCAAATTCCCTTTTCTGAAACATAAGTTCATCGACTGCTGCCTTTTGTTCTTTCGTACTTGGGATTAATGGAAAAATTCAAAGAAATACTACAGAAGGCTATTAACTTCGACAGCCGTAGGCGAAAATTTTGATAAATTTTGAGGGCCATGAATCCAGATTTGTTTAATTTTTCATCGCCGGAGGCGAAAAATTTGAGAATTTTTAAGGCTTTAGGAGAAAAAATTCAATAGCAAGTCTGCCCGTGAAAAAATTTTTTGAAGTTTAGATGGTAATGAAGCCAGAACTCTTAAATTTTCTTAGCGCAGGCGAAAATTTTGGAAAATTCATGATTAAATTAAAATTTCTAATATTTTTTCAAGTTTAAGACATTAAAAAAAATAAATTTGCAAATTTAAAATCAAAATGAAAGTTTAAAATTATTTTTTTTGTCAAGATAATTTTCTCAGCCCCATTTCCATACATGGATTCAAACCCCATCCCTGATAAATTGACTAGATGAGTGAAATCAGTCAACTATACCACTCAACCATCGACTAATGAAAGGAAATATTGGAATTTATAGATATTCCTTTCCTTTTTCCTTCAAAAATTTAATATCAAAGTACGCAAATACACTAAATATTCTACCCGGTTTCCCGGTATAAAAATGGGCGTAGTGACAGAAGACCCACAGACAGAAGACCCAAGGACAGAAGAACCACAGACAAAAGACCCACAGACAGAAGACCCACAAGGACAGAATACCCACAGACAAAAGACCCACAAGAAAATTTTTTAACTATAACTTTAGAAGAAATTTTCTGAAATTCCTGAAAAAGATTTCCAATTTCTCAAGGCACAAAATTAATAAATTTTAAAGTATAAAAAAAAATTTATTATAAAGTTAATCAAAAGAATTTTTAGCGTTAAATTTTATGGATGAGTGCGATTTAGATCATTTAATTAGAAAGTGATTTTAATAGTCGAGTGATTAATTGGGATATTTAGGAATAGCGTGGGATATAGAGAATATAGGGGTAAAGTCCTGAATCTACCTATATCTATTCTTATCCGTGAATTGTGTATAACAAGAACCAGAAGAATGAATACTATCTTTCTTGCCAGTAAATCGGATATGTCAGAAAATTTCAAGGGATGTAAACCTTCTAAGCTTTTACCACTAATCCGCCTTTATCCACCGATATCTCTCAATGTTACTCAGAAATAATTAACTAATCTCTATTATCCCAAAGATCCCCGATATCCTTGCATATCTCCAATGCCCTTGATCGCTTCTAATCCTTCTATATCCCTCCATGTGGACTTAACTGACTCTCGCTATAATCCACTTAATCCTAAATACCCCTTGATTCAAATATCCCCTTGATCTACTTCTCCCTTTCATCGTCACAGACGAGACTTTTGGAAATTTTGAATGGCCAAGAAGCGAGTTTACCATTTTAGCGATACAGGTCCGAATTCTAAGAATTTTGTAACGCTAATTATCTGTTTTTATACTATTTTTTTTATATCTGAACCTGATCGTATAAGATTTTTTGACACGACATGGACCGGATTTTCCGGATAAAAATCCCAATAATCCGGAAAATCAAGATCCCTTTCGTTAAACAAGCTTTCCGGTAATTGGGACAATATTCCCATCGTTGGAACAACTTCTCCATTGTTAAAATACATTCCCCATTGTTAAAATAACATGCCCGTGGTTGGATCAACACCTTATTGTGGAACATCCCTCGCGCCAAAATTTATGCACAATAAAAGGGAAACAAAAAATAGTTGTGGGTCTTTTGTCTGTGGGTATTCTGTCCTTGTGGGTCTTCTGTCTGTGGGTCTTTTGTCTGTGGGTCTTCTGTCCTTGGGTCTTCTGTCTGTGGGTCTTCTGCGTCGACACGATAAAAATGGCCGGGACCGGGTCAGGGTAACGGGTTCTGAAAAATGGACCGGCCGGGTTCCGGGTCGTGAAACCGGGAAAACCCGTACCCGGTTTCAACCCGGTTGCTTCAAAAAAACCGGGAAAAAGGACCCGGAAAACTGGAAACGGGTCCGGGTCCCGATCCCGTTCCTAGCTCTAGTTTTGTTCAACAAATTGAGTATTTTTACTCTGTTGGACATATTGAGATGTGGCGTTTTGGCTGTGTGACATTTTGGAATGAGACATTTTTGAGTAGCGTCCAAAAAACAAAAAAAATTTTTACAAAATTTTTAATTTTACAAATTTTTTCCAAAATTTTTACAAAATTTTCACTTTTTGGTAGGATTTTAGGCAATTTTCGCAATATTTTCCCAAAAACCTCAAAAGATGCAGTAAAATATGCATTATGCAGCAAAGTCTGAAATATGCAAAAATATGCATTATATGCAAATAGAAACCCCCTCTAAAGTTTTCAAAACATGCGGAAACACTGTTTTTTGTGCTTTATACATGATGCCAAGTTTGCAAAAAAATGCATTTGCATAAAAATCACAGCTCTAGTAATAAGTGATCCAGCATCAAAGTTTTGTCAAACACAAGACAAGAATTAAAAGTGGTTGATTAGTGTATAATGTTCAGTGGAAAAACAGTGATCCCAAGAACTTTGAGGAAAAGTGTATTGAAAATACTGGATAAGCACACATCCTGGATATAATCGTACAGAGATTTACATATAATCGTACAGAGATTTTTTTGTTTTTTGCAACTCCTTGATTTTTCTATCCATCTCTATTTATTTCTAGTCTTTTCATTTATTTTATTTATTTTAATTTTTTTAAATTTTAATTTTTTGTTCGTTCAGTTGTTTCTGCGTTTTGTAAAAGGCGAATTTCATAAATATCAAGAATCGACAACTGCAGTCCTTTAATGACTAAACAAACTGTTTGCATTAAATTTGTGACTTTAATTTTAATAAATATACTTTTAACACATGAGATGAGTCCATTAACAATACAGCCCAAAAAACTTTTTTAACTTGAGGTCATTTATCGTTATTTTTGATAAGAGCTAATTTGGTTAATCCTGTAAATGAGATTAAAATAATTGGCTATGATTTAAAATTATTTTCAATATTGTTTAGTCTCCTCTTTTTTAAGTTTATCTTTTAGTTATTTTTTAGTTTTGTTATCACACGCATCCTTTAATTTAAAAATTGCTAAGAAATGGAGTAGTGCTACCAAATGAAACGTCGACTATCATCGAAATACAATAATATGAAGAAATATATTTTTACGGATGTAAGATTTGTCTGCAGCTGCGGGAACTCTGTTTAACTGTCCTTCAATATTTGTGATGATGATTTTGAAAAAATTACTTTCTATTTCATAAAATTGTTAATTGTTTTTATTTTTAATAAATTATTAATTTAATTGTCTTCAAATGAAACTAATTTCGCGCCCAAAGTGAAAATTTGCTGGTAATTAATCATTAATAATTAATTACCAATCAAAATTGATTAAATGCGGTAATTAATCTTTAATCATTAATTACCCTCGGAAAAATTAGAGGTTAAATGTGCACTCTGGGCAATTCGCCTGTCAATCAGCTCAAAGTAATAATATTTTAATAAATAATAATATTTTTAAAAAAATAAATTTTTATCAAAACTAAAACTATATTTTAAATAAAAATAAAACATGACATGTTAGTTTCGTAGAAACTGCAAAATAGCCAACTAGAAAAGACACCTGGAATTAGGGATGTGCATGAGTAAAAAGAACGGGAGAAGGAAATTGAATCAGAAATTGACGCGAATAAAAGTGTTTTTTCGTTTAGAAAATTCAATCCAGAATTTCTTGTTTTTAGTCGAGCTGGTGAAAAAGGTATTTTAGATGATTAAAAATATTTTTATTTTTGCGATTTTCAAAAGCAAAAAAGCTAGGATGCTTAATTTCGTTTTTGGGATAATTGTTGGAGGGGAGGGGGTTTGGCGGAGGATGAGAAGGTAGTTTTGGTTAGTAATAATCTTTAAATAATAAAAACTCAAAAAAAATTTTAAAAAATAATCCTTGAAATAAATCTATAATTGAATCTCTTTCCTTTTCAAACGATCAACAACAACATTCAATTGTCCATCAATATAATTTTCTATAAATTCCTGGATTTTTCCTGTTATCAGTTTCTTTGTATTTTCCGAATAATTTTTATTTAAATTTAATTTGTAAAATTTCTCAGGTGTTCCGTTATATTCGTTAAATAATTCAATTAAATTATAATCAAGTTCAATATTTTTCTCTGTAGCCTCCAAATAATCTAATTCAGTATTTGAATAAAAGAATTCGAGGAAATTATCATTCTTTGTCATTGACTTTAAAAATTCGAGTAATAAACGAAATAATAGAAGATCACAAATTCTGTGAGCGGATTCTTCAGCGTTGTCGACAAAAATCCTTGTTCTGTCTAGAAATTTAATGATTGGTTAAAATAAAGTTTTATATAAACTTGATTAATTAACCCTAAAGATTATATTTTTTAGTCTGCTATGTCCGTGATTTGAATATTTTAATATATTTATTTAATATTCATTTTTATCTATTTCCCCCATTTCTTAATATGTTTAATTAATTCCCCCAGTCAACTTTCAATATTTTCTACTTTCATCTCATTCAAATTGTTGCCCTTCTCCTAAACCCTTCCTTAATCATTTTCTTTATGTTTTTATCATCTTTCCGCCCTTCCTAGTCCCTATAAATATTTGTTTCTTTTCCCTCATTTGGAGTGCTCTTCGGACCGCTCACTTGACCCAAATAAATGTAATTGAAGAAATAAATATTTAAAATAAAAGCCTCAATATTTGAGAGATTAGGGTCATTTTAAGCTTAATATAAAATATGTCTTTCACAGACATAATACAGTCTGTCGCCGATTTTGCCCTCTCCTAATTTTACCTTAAATTTTCTTCTATTTCTCTAAATTCTATTTGTTTTACTCTTGTTGAAGTACTTTGGGCTTGGAGTAACTTAGGCTTGGGCTTGCAATAGTTTATATAAGATGAGAGGTCACTTTATTTATGTATAACACAACATTTATAAAAATTACATACATCTAAAACTCCAAATTAATTCCCATTTAAAATCATAAATAATTCCTCTAAATTTAGTCATAAACATTTGTATATTTTGGGGGTTTTTAACTTCTACATCATCAGAATTTACTAATTCATGATATAATCCATTTTCATAAATTATTTCCAAAAATTTCTTTACTGAATTTTTACCATTTGTTTCAACAACTTCTGTCAAATTTAAAATTTTAGTATAAAATCGTTTTGCCTCTAAAGGCAAAAAATGAATTTCTCCATTAAATTCCCATTTTCCCCCACATTTTTCTTCACTTTTTTTAACAATTAATTCATTTATATGTCTAATTTTTTTATTTCGTTCAATTTCATTCTTAAATTTTCTTCTAAATATAAAATTATTTATTTTAGTATTATTTAATTTTATAAAATTATTTAATTTTATGAAAATTCCAGATTTTGTAATGATATTATAAATTAAAAACCAACCGTTTTCCTCCTATATCATTAAAAATATGAATTTTTCTTGCATGCAGTATTCCCTTTAAAAATACGGAATTCAGTTTGAAATATGTTTCTAATTTTTTTGCGGTGATATTTCCATATAAATGTAATACACACAATCCTTGAATAAAAGCTTCCTAAATTTAAAAAATTATTAACGGAAAACTACGAGAGTATGATCGTAAGTTCTGAATAAACCCTTAGATCAATTGTTACAGATTCATTTATCACTCCTTTGACGGATTTACGAGATCAGTCTGATCGATTTCATTGGGGATTAATTTTCTTAAATAATTTTTGTTATCAATTATGAGCGTATTTGAAGACAACTATTCTCAAAATACCTCGATTTCCTTTTTTGATTTACAATTTTCCCTGTGATGTTCATATGCCTGTTTAAATTCAAAATTATCTTCCATATAATTATCAAGAATAATATTTTGTGTTATTGGATCTAAATAAAATTCTCTTTTTATTTGTATTTCGTTTCCAAAAATTTTATTTTGGCATTCGTTTATCTGATCCAATTTGTTTATTGCCCATATATCTTGACGACTAGTAGAAGTTCCTTTCATTCTTTCATTTAGTCCGTTTAAAAATCTTTGTTTTTTTCTTCTACTCTTTTCTTCATTATTTTCAGAATTATATTCTTCAGAACAATTATATGCACCAAAAGAATCTTCTGATAATAATTTTTCAGATCCTTCAGGATTATATTCTTATTCAGAAGAATCATTTGCAGCAATAAATATAGTAAATAAAGAAATAAATTTAATAAAAGCAAATTAAATTTATTTCTTAACATTCCTTTAAAAATAATTTTAAATAAAATATTTTAATAGAAATTTGCTCTCTTATAAAATATTAAGGTACACTTGTGTTATAGGCCCGCACTACTGGAGGCTGGCTTTTCTCACTTCACTGTCTATCATCGTTACAACTTCGTGGATCCGAGAAACTTAGCTAATACACAAAAAATAGAACGACTTTCGGGATCTGCGAAATGGAGAAACAAAAAACATCGTGGAACAGCGCGCATCATTTGAAAGTTATTTAGCAGAATTCATGTGCAGACAAGAAGTTAAAAAGTGAATTTTTTGAATGGATTTTATAAAAAATTGCGGAATTTTGGCCTCCAAAATAATGTTTAGATATTGTCATTTTGCCTTTTTTTATAAATAATATTTCGTTTTTATAAATGAATTTAATCTTGCCCATTAATTGACTTTGACCATTTTTTAATCTTAAAGAGAAAACAGAAAGGCAAAAGAGAGGAAAGAAGAAGGAAATGGGTGGCATAAAAAATGTGGGCCTATAATGTTGTTTGGAACCATACCCCAAGTTTGCAACACCAAGAAACCCCCAATTTTTGTTGAATTGACGTCTAAATTTCATTGGACGCATAAACTAGACCAGCGCCAAAAATTTTTTTAGTGAATTAGTGTTTTAAAAAGAGATTTAAATAAATGTTTAATTAATGAGAGAAATTCTCTAAATTAACGAGATTATATGATAGCCATTAATGTGGAGGAGCTTATTTTTTAAAATAAAATTAAATCTGCCCTTTGTCTTAAGATTTATTTTTAAAGGCGGAAAAGAATTAAAATATAAAATCGTAAAAATTGGGAATAAAATCGAAGAAAATTTTTCATTATGGTATAAAATAATACGAAAATATTTTATTTATGAGCAACAATCTGGTATAAAAAATAACCTAATAATGGTGTAAATAAAAAATTAAATGACTAAAATAATTAAATTAATTTAATATAAAATACATTTAGCGTGTTTGTTGAAATAATTTCTTTTAATTTGGCTTTGAAAAAGTTTTTATTCAAACAATGTATTATTCCAGGGCCTTATATTTACTACTAAGTTCAAATAAGGCAAAAAATAATAATTATATGTAAATATAAAATGATAAAGGAAGGAAAGTTCTGAGTTGTTCTTGCTGTGTATAAGTTGTTCATGCTGAGGAGAAATTCAATGGATGGGAGATGGAATTGAAACGAAGCACAACCGCTGTGCCACCATCCAAACCGATGACAAGTTATTCATTTTCATTTATATTCTTTCTGTAAGTGCGACACAATGGCTCGATGTTCGACTCGATAAAAATTAGGTCCGAAAAAGCCCGACTGTGCCAACATCCAAAAGACGAAAAAACCCCGGATATTAGGAAATTTTCTGTTCGGATATCGGTTCCGGATATCCGAAATCTTCGGTTTGGATATTGGTCAGGATTTCCAAAATTTCGGTTCGGGTATCCTGAGATTGACCAGGAAGCGTTACACCTGAATTTAAACTATACATAATATAAGATACAACTTTTTTCGTTTATAAGGTGTGATCTTATAATGCAGTCTGGTTATAATACATATTATAATTAGAGCCCGGATTTTTAAGCAAATGCCTGTTTTTTTCCTAGATAGGCCTGATGCTGAAACGTTCAAATCCGGTGTTATTTTACTGAAATCTGCTTTCTAACTAATTTTATCATTGTCTAAAATTGCCTATTTTAACTTTTTCTGAAAAAATGACCTATTTTGCCTTTTTTCAGCCTTTTTTGCATATTTTTACTAAAATTTGCGAATTTTTGGGCATTTTTTGAGAAAATTGTCTACTAAAAAATTTTTTTCTGGTCAAATATAAAATTTTTACAAAAAATTTTTGTCAAAAAATTTTTTTGGGAAAAATTTTCTTCTGAAAAATTTATCAAATTATTTTTGGAAACAAAATAATTAATATAAATTAATTTATATGTAATTCTGATCGCCAAAATTAATTTATTTAACATTTTATTGCTTAGATTTATCATTTTTGATAAAATTCAGATAAAATTCAGTCAGTATAAATCAGAAAATCTCGAAAAAATACTGCCTATTTTGCCTTTTTTTTCGAATTTTAGTGCCTAATTTGGCAGTTTGTTAGTGCCTATATAGGCGCCTATTTTTAACTTTATCATGCCTAAAAATCCGGGCTCTAATTATAATACATAAATAGGAAAATTATTTAAATGAAGTTAGAAAAATATTTTTGAATTCTTCTTGTTTACTGTAAAATACAAGTACCATTTACACAATTACTGTTTAGACAAGGATCTTCTCCTACAAAAAATTTAGATTTAAGAAAATTCCAAATTCAAAAAAACTTGCCATTAGTAAAGCCTGCACAGTTTCCACCTTGACGGACTTTAGATACACACAATGGAAATGTGTGGGATCGGTCACAAAATAAATATCTGGATTTAAAAAATAATTTTTTTGCATTAATTTAAAAAGCTATGTATTTAAATAAATAGGTATTAGGGGTCGGGGAAGGATGGCGAGAAGGGTTGACAGGAACTGAAAAAAGTCGTTGTATCCTAAATTTCGTTGCGATATCATTTCCGGATCTCGATATCCAAGGATTTCATCAAACCTTGAGCGCCGCCTTCTAATTTTTTTGTTCAGGTCACAGCTCTAGATTGATTGGATGAACAAGGGCATGTAAATTAACGGAAAGGGGCCTTTAAAATAGAATAGATCTACAAAATATATATCTTGATTTAAAAAACACGAGTAGTATCAAAGCAAAGTTTCCCTATAGATCCAAAGAGAGTCATCCTTTCTCTTATGGAACATTAATTTATTAATCCCCTACTTTGATCCGCACTCTGTAGTAAAGCCACAAGTAGGTCTATCTTGATATTCAAACATATTATCGGTGTATTCGTTTCTAAGTCCGTCCCAATTTTGTAGAGGCTTAAAAATATTTTGGAAAAATTAAAAAATTTTAAAAATTAAAATTTATTTTACAGCAAATTGTGTCATATTTGCAAATTTAAAATGTTTCTCCGATTCGCAAGCCTAAAATAAATTAAATTAATTTATTTTAAAATTGCAGGTTTTATGTACAGCAATATCAGCTGGATAGTCATTAGCTCGTTGTGTTCTATTTTGGGCTTTTTCTCTCCATAGTTCAAAAACCTATCAAAAAAATTTTATAAATAAAATTTAGTTTATTTTCTATTCACACGTCAGAGATTTTTTTATTTTGGTAGAAATATTGAACAAAGGTGGTTTTTCTACCAATTTTAAAATAACAGTAAAAGCGAGGGTACGGTCTAAAGTAATCGTTGTCTCCTTACCATCCTACAAATGCACCATGATTAATGGAGAGATTAGGAAGGGGTTGTAATGTGGAAGATAACTAGTGTTGAGACATCAATGAACATTAACGGAATTAGACATTAATGGATTTTTTGTAAGAATAGTAACTAAAAGTATCGAGTCGTTATTTTGGTTAGTATATGAATAGTAATAGAACTGTGGACATTAATGATAACTATGGTAGATTTTATTGGGAGAAGTATAACGAGAGTTACAGTATATTCGAGTGAAGTTATTACGAGAGTCCCGAATAAAATAATCTTTAAAATTTATAAAGTTAACCAAATCAACAAAACAATGATGCATATAAAATATAGGGTCATTTCCAGGTTTGTTAGGGATAAATGTAGCCATGTCCCCACCAATAAATAAGTGTGGTTGTCCATGAGTGATCTTTAAAAAGCAGGATTAATTTAAATAAAAATAATAATTTTATCACTTCAAAAGCATCCCATTCCGGTTTTATTGGACAGGCACGCCTTGCGGAGGTATAAGCAAGTATTCTTTCCACTTTTGTTTGTGACAGGGTCCGGGAAACACTGAAAAAAGATAACTTTAGAATATTGTTTGACGGTGTTCAGTCTAAATTTCATTTTCGCTACATTGGCGATCATACATTGCTCCTATTAGTCTAACATCGTTTTTTCTTCAAGGATGGGTCCTTAAGACTCCGAAATTTTTTAAATTTTCGGCTTTTGACATGTAAGCTAGTTCAAATTTCTGTTATTTTCGATTGTTATTACTAATACACCTCGGCTACAGACTAATTCTTTTGTCCAAAGCAGACAACCACATATGTACTCTTCAGACTAGTCCGATTTCCTTTAATCTATCTACTATGTACACTCAGAATATTCCTGCCCAATCAAAATAATAATCTTTCCTAATTGTCCAGACGGTCGGTAAATTCTAGATTTTTTAACTTTAATACCACAAGTATTAACTCACTCATATTCTGTAAAGCACCTTCCAACTTTGCCAACATCACGTGTAATGTAAGGATCTCCCTAAAATACATTTTCAGTTAAATAATAAATAAAAAATCACCTCAAGAGTCTTCCAAGGAGTAAAAGGTCCCGTAACAACATATCCTTGTTTATTTGTTGATCCAATAAACTAATAATTAATTTAATTGTTTAATTTAAAGGATTACGTCTTTAGTGAAAAGAATAGAATCTGCCGGATTTGGCAATCGACCATCCAAAGTAGAGTCCCAGTAGGGTAGGCCAAGGGTTGGGTTATATTTTCGAAGCAGAATCTCGAACCTTAACAAATTTTTAAATTTAATATTGTAAGGTGTAGTCTAGGTGAAAAGGCTAAAGGGTTTTTAATTCATTACTTTCTCAGTAAGCAATGTGACTATTCGCCAATTTAACGTTCATTATTTAATGTTTTCCATTCTTCTTATTAAAATAAAGCTAGGCCAAACACTTATATCATAAGGACCTGATCAACACTCAGAGCTTGATTGATTAAGTGTGAAGGTATCCCGGACTCAAGCCTTAACAGATACCCCAATGGAAAGGCCCTCGCAAGTGCGTTCCAGTTGAAGTGCTGTGTTTCTATATCAATCCTTATTTCTTATAGTTTAGCCTCCAAACATGCCAAAACACGGGCAAATACCTAGATATTAATACCATATCTTTATATTGATATGTACTCATAGATTAGTGACTTTGATACTACCGAATTCCTACTACAGAATATGAAAAATGACGTAATATTATCACCTTTTAAGATATTCCCTATGCCAAACGAAAAAAGCAGGTCCATTGTGAGCTCCTCCATTTACGAATGCTAATCTGTGTATTAAAGCTATATAATCAAAACCTCCTTTATTTTTCATTTCTCTCAATGCTTTAAACTTTAAAAATTATTTTTTACTTAAATTTAATTTTAAAAAGAGAATTTACAAAATCATTTCTTTCTTTATCTGATAACATTCTAATTTCTTTACGAAGTGCTTTTTGAAGTTTTTGGCCGTTTGGAAGGGTACAATCATTAACTGTACCATTAGTTTTGCCTAAAAAATTTTTATAGCCTCATAAGGATACATTTAATTCAAATAAAAGTAAAAATACCTCCATAATAAGAACAAACACAACTCTGGCTTATGCACTCTAGCTCTTTTCTAGATGGGGCAATACCTTCTGTATTATTCGGAGAATCTGAAAAATGATTAAATTTGTAATTAAGCCTATAGTTCAAAAATGTCGCATTTCTTGCAGTCCAATAAATCCCCTTCCTCGTTTCATTCCTTACAGAAGTTTCTTGCCGAGGACCTCTTCAGTGTCAAAACTTTTCCCGAGGCCCTCCTAATGTCAGAGATCAACCTATTACAAATAAATTCTCTCTCTCGGTTGATTCTCCTCTTAATTCCTCTATAAAATATTTCACAATTCTCTCTTCTCTAACTTCACCATTCCTCTCGAAAATTTTTTAAAAAAATCACAAACTCACATTTCGGGTCCAACTTCTAAAATTATTTTTAAAAATTAAAAAAAATTTTAATTTTTTTAAAAACCTCCGAATTCTCCCCGAAAATAACATTATTTATTGTAATATTACATAAAGCTTTTAATCCAAAAGTAGGCTCTTTATTACAGTCATATTTTTGTTGACAAAAGACATTAGTAATTAGAATATTTATGGCAAATAAGGCGATTAAATAAAATTTAAAAATTGCCATTTTTATTTTTACCTCAATATAAACAAAAATTTACTGTAATTTTTGAACTTACAATTTTTGATTAATTGAGTTATCAGGATTTAAGTCCCAAGAATTCCAAGAATTCTCTGTGACCCTTAAGACCCAAACTTGACAAAACGTTGTATCCCGAACGTTAGGAGGCGGGTGTGCCGCAATACTGGGATTTTAGTTTGTTTCGGGACGGGGCTCGGGTCGGTGGAGCAAAATATGGTTGGGATTCGGCTCGAGATAGGTCGTTTAAATAAAAATTTTAAAAATAGAAAACTCCTAAAATAATTTTATTTAATTATTAATGAGGAAAATTTATCATGCGCTTCGCTACAGAAGTATGAATCGAACAAGAAATTACCGATTAACCGTCAAACCGAGCGAAAATCCTGGGGTTACAGTCATAAACAGGCTTAAAAATGAAGGATTATGAAGTAAAGGAATTTGTGGAGATATACTCAATAGCTTTAAAATCTTTCTTTAAGCCTTCATCCAACAATTTAATGAAAGTATTTATTTGTAAATTATTATACCTGAATTTTGATTTATAATTTTGGATAAAGCTTAAACGCTTTAAATAAATTTAAATAAAAATTTTACACGTAGCTGACTCTCGCGAACCTTTGGTAAAATATTATAAAAAATTTTAATTCGAATACAACTCTACCACATTTGAATTTGTATAGCTTATGTATTTTATCGGATTGGATAAATAATTATCAACGTATTTTAATTTATATACGCAAGTAAAAATTAAATAAAAAAACTTTTTTTTAAATTTAACACGTTGCATCTTCAATTAATTCTAGAAAAACCGATTTTGAGTTATTTTAAGTATTTTCTTATAATTTATTAAATATATCTATTTGATGATTCCTGAAGTATAGAAACTTTCGTTTGGCTTAAAAAACTTTAAAAAATGATTTTTAGTTTCTTCAAACAGAATTAGGTGATACAATAGCGAACAGTAAAACAAGTACTAGTTCTTATAAATTACGGCTAAAGAAAAAATTATTTTAAATAAAAAAATGCCTGAAACATTTGTCAAAAAAATATACAAAATGTATGTTGGGAATAAAATAACCGAAAAATTCAAAAAAATTCCATCTTTTGGGGTGATTTTATAAACCGAAACAGGTCGGGTTATGTCAGTGGTTTGAAGAAGCCCTGATCTATTAACAATATTATGCTTCGGCTGCGGTATATTGAAGAATTTGCTTTAATTAAGGCGGATTTGGAGGCCCCCCCTCATGCCAGAACCCTATGACAGGTACCGCCCAACCCTATGAATAAATCGGCCTAGCTCTTTACTATATCAGGGGATATCCCCAATTTATTAGAGTTCAAGCAAAAGTTCCAACTTAGACCTAACATAACAAAAAATAATTTTCCAATTTCTTTTATTAAAAAATTTTTTCGATTTTCGTTTTTCGAGGTTATTTTTCTTTCGATTTTCGATTTCGAAGATTTTGAAAAATATTTTCGATTTCGATATTTTTGGATTTCTTTCGATTTCCGATTTTCGAAGATTTTTTTTGCGAAACATCTCTGTTCGCAAAAGGCAACGGTTTATGGTCAACAATACCGTAAATCATCAGAATCTATCGCCACATTTAAGTGTATAAATAGCATTTTTGCCAAGAAAAAAAAATTAAAATTTTTTCAATAAAAATTAAAATTTTCTCATTAAAATTTTTTCAATTTTGTCCAACTTTTTTATTAAGAAATATTTTTTTATCCAACCTCTTATTCATTATCTATCTAATATCTCTCTATATTCATTCTTCTTTTAAAATCACACAGCTGGATGGGTAGAATGAAAAGACACATTTTTTGCATTCCCAAATAAGAAGAAATTTCTGCTCTTTTAGCTAAAGAATTAGTTAAAAATAAGAAAAGAAAAAAAGATTTTTTGGTTTAAAAGTATATCTGCTATGTATTAGAGGAAGAAGACTGCGCAGTGCAACAATTAATCGGACTTCCATTGAATTTTTTTTTATTTTTTTATATTGATATTTATTTATTGTTCGTTTTTTAAATTAAAAGTGTTTTAAGTATACATTTATAATAATTTAATTTAAAGTTGCCGTAATTGTAAGGGTTTGTAACAGCCTATGTAGTCTGTTTGTAGCGCAGCTACATTTGGAAAAAATTTTCCCCATATGCACTTATAAATTAGACATTTTGTAATTAAACTAGACAGTTTCAAAATCATATCCCTGGTCCTATACACTGCTCTAGATAAATATAAGTCCATCACTTTTTTCGAGATTTTTCACTTCTAATGATCCAAAATTTCTGAAAATTTTGATGCGCACCTTTTAACACTAATAAGTTTTGCATCTATTTTTACTTGATTTTTTATTTTAAAAATTTTTAGACCAAAATTTGCATTTTCGGCCTCCACATAAGTATAAGTCCACTTTACGAAAAAGAAATTTTCAAGATTAGGAAAAATATACAAAAATTATACATCTATAAGAATTTAATTTAAAGTTGCCGTAAAGGAGCATTGTAATTTATTACGGAAAAATAAAAAAATAGACCCATATCTTTACCTGGAGCCGTTATCCTGAGACCTCAAAAATCAACGTAAAACAGGGATAAGGCTCTGTAAAAAATTTTTCGACCTCTTATGGATTATTTTCAATTTTGATTTTGGGCTTAACGAAAGCCCTTGAAATTTGCTACGTGATTGGAGCATTGTAATTATATCCATTAGTTCTTATATTCCTTGTACAAAAACGCAATTTAGTTAATAAATATTTTTATTAAACACACAATTACGTATATCCCCCCCTCTCCTCCAAAAAATATTTATTAATAAAAATCCGCTTTATAAAAGTTTTATATAAATAAATTCTTCTCATTCTTCTCCCTAATATATAATGCGCTAATCAAGAAAACTAAAAAATATTTCTTTTATTTCCAGCATTTATTCATTCATTCTTGTTTAATAAAGCCAGAAAATTAAATATATTTTTCTTTTAAAATTGATGAAGCAGAAAAATGATTTTATACAGATTATAATTTTACTTTTTGCTTTGATTGTTAGCAATCGAAAAGTTCTAGTGAGTTTTTAAATTAATTTTTAATTAATTTAGAACTGAGTAAAAATTATTTTTTTCGCAATCCGCAGTCCGCAAGTCCAAAAATACACTAATTTACGTAATCCGCAGTAGCAATCCGCAATTGCGGACGGCCCTTTATAAGACGCTTGATGAAGAATTATTAGTATCATAAACAAAAAAATCACAAATTATGTACTACAAGGAATTTTATTCCTCAACGTGTAGGGATATGCCAATGACGAGTACATTTATTCCACAAATGGAGAGGATGTTCAAATGTTGAATAACTTTTCTTACTTTTGGAACAAAGTACATAATTTGTGATTTTTTAGTTTTAAAATACTGATAATTTTTTACTCAAATATTAATCCTGTCCCCAAATACCAGTAAACAATTCTCAAATGTCTATCCCCAAATGCCTTTATCCAGAAAAGTCCGTCCGCAAGTGTCGTATAACCAAATTTATTGTATTTTAAAATTTTTCGAAAATTTTTTTTATTTTTAAAATTTGAAATATAAGAATAAATTTTACAGGATGTGTTGTAAGCAAATGGAGGCAATGGGGGTAACTAATAATTTATTTATTTAACGTCATATTATCTCTAATTTCTCGTCGTCGAAATGTCGAGAACGTCGAGAAACAGTCGAATCTCGATATACCAACCCCTCGCCAGTGGTTGTTACGAGTAAAAAATCCCTGTACAAAAGTACGTGTACGAGCAAATTCAAAATTCCAACCACGGCCCCTAACTTTAATTACACCTCTCAAGATAACTAGCCTTTTTGACGGTCACTGGAATGATCCGAGCTATATAGTGATCTGACTTAATATTATTTTTAATTTTAGAGAATGCCAAGGAGATTGTGAATTTGCTTTAAGAGTAAGAAACAGAGACGTATTGAAGCCTCCCTTCCCCGAAAAAGATGAAAAAACATTGCAAATGTTTCTGAGAGAATGCCCTCCACTTTATCAAGTAGAACAATGCCAACCTAGAGAATGTTTGGATGAAAGTCCTTTTAATAGAGTAAATTTTCATTTTAAAATTTACTGAACAGAATTAATGATTTTTTGGGGAATAAGATACCCTCCATTAGCTTGGGTCCGCCAAAATTATTTTTTTGGTACATTAGAAATGATCAGGGAATAAATCGGTCAGTTAGCTAGTTTAAAAGAAAATGAAGGTTGCCCTAATGAAACCGCAAAGATTAAGGACGTAATGTCCTTCTTACATATGTATGTATATGATAACGATTATTACCTCTTACAATTATCTCTCAAGAGATAAATGATAAGATTATGAAGTTAAAAATTAAAAATAAAAGTTAAATTTAAAAATTAAGTTAAAAATTCTATTTAATAATGAGACAATTTGCTATAGTGTGTGTATTTTCTGATATCTTTTCTTTAATTTTACACTTACCTTTGATCTAATAGAAGTCAATCTCCAATAGAAATCCATCCTCTAAGTCGATCCTAAAAGCTACTCAATGAGTCACACTAAAAATATTTCAATAAGGCTTTCATTAGGATATCTCCGATGTTTAATAATTTACCTAATATAATTTAAGATACCCACAGATACAACTCAAAATAAAACAAAAATATTAAATAAAGAAGATAACCAGCTTTCTCCAGCACAACAAAATTTGAAAGGAGATAATAAAATTAAAGAAAATCCGAATTTAGAAGATCCGTTTACTCACGTAAAAGAGGAAAGAAAAAATAAATCACTCGAATTAATTGGAATATTAAAAGATGAAGGGCCTTTTTCTACTAAAATTGACTTGATTAATAATAATAAAAAACAACTTAAAATTAATAAAATTGATTGTAAGTTCCTAAAAGTGATCCTAAAAGTGAAGAAATTTGACATAATATCTATCCATCACAGTTTCTTTGCCTCCTCGAAATTATTCCCAAGACACTCTGTCGTAAGAGAGTGTCTTATTTATTTCCTTAAGACACTCTCCGTCTTTTAATATAAATTTTGTTTCTCATTTCGGATACGTGGGTTGCCCTGGAGAGGGTAGTTGTAAGGGACGCCCGGTGAGAACGTAGTTTTGAGAAGTAGTTGTAAGGGAATATTTTTAAGGGAATTTTAAAGGAATATTCTTCTAAATTAAATTTTTTTTTCAATTTAATAGGCAAACTTCCCAATCCTGCCTGTTGTCGTTCAATTAGGCAAAAATGTGCTAATGGAAGAAAACCTGCACAATTAACTAGATGGTATAGAAAGGTGAGGTAGAAGACTCGTTTGCGAATTTTGCCATTTTTTGGTGCTTAATCCTTTAAAATTAGTTTCTTCATATCCTTGTTTGATACACTTATTTTTATTTACGATTTTTCATTCCAACTTTGGAAACTTTTATTCAAAGTACGGTTTAGATCGGCTGGAAGCTTATTCAAGTTGTTAACTAAAATTATTCACCACGCACACTCTTGTAGTATCTGATAGAGCTGTCTAAGACAAAAAATTATCAAGACTCGAGACCAAGACTACTCCCCATGACCATAACCAAAACTTGATCCCAAGATTCAAGACCAACAGCTTGGACAGCTCTAGTATCTGGGACCTATATTCCAGCACCAACATTATTTCTTCTCTCTTAATTTTTAAGTTTATCCGTTTATACTTATAATTAATAAATTTTAATTTTATTTTAAGAAAGTCTTGACATGTTTAATTTAATTTTGAAGTTTTATTTTAAGAAAGGAGAACAATTTTGCCGTCCATATAAATACCCTTTTTGTGAAGACTCTACGGAGAGAACGTTTGCCGCTGAAAGTGAATGTATAGATTTATGCTTTACTGAACAAGAAAAAACTGTCTTGCCCGATTTTAGAGTTATTAGATAAAGAATTTTTTTATTTTGTATTTTTGAAGGAAAAATTTTTTTTTGAAATTTTTAATAAATATTTTCATTATTTTTAAAAAAAATTTCTAGAATTAAGAGTAAGAGGTACACGTAAAAGTTTAGCATCTTGTCAACTCATGCCATTTATTGCTCGGAGCTTTCGCACACAACGTACAGGTGCTCTACCGTCAGAGACTTACTCTTCTAATAATATTAAAGATTTAAATGTTTCAATAAATTGTTTAAATCGTAATCTGTTTTACAATCGTAATTCTACATACAATCGTCGTAATTTAAATTATTAATTTGAATTATTATTTGAAACTTAATTTGAAATTATTCTCAAATAAGATTCACCTCAGTCTTAGTTAGAGATTATTTTTGTTTCCTTTCCCTTGTAAGGAATACTTATTTAATAATGGAGCATCCTTAATCATTTTTTTATGGTAAAAAATATAATTTAAAAATCAATAAAAAATAATTATTATTCGTGTATTCACCCAATTTTCTATAAAATAATTATTAATCTTTCCTTAAACATAGCAAAAATAATTTACCTAAAATTAAAAAAAAATTTTTAAATTTTCCTTAAAACCCAAATTTCATTTAGCATTTCTTCTTTAATTAGCAATTCTTTTATTTTTTCAATTTCCCATAGCCTACTTATCACCTTTTTAAAAAAGTTATTTTTAAAAGCAGTAAAATTGACACAAAAATTTTTTTAAAAAATAAGGAAAAGAAGAAGAACATGGGAAAATTTTAATGACATTTTTTCTGTTATATTTTAGTTAATTTTCCTTTTCTTCTATTTGTTTTTGAAGGGTTTAAAGATTAAAATTTCTTAAAATATATTTTTTAAATTAAAATTATATTTATTTAATTAAATTTAATTTTATAAAAAAAGAGATAAAATTGACAAAAAAAGGCTAAAAATACATAAATTTCTTTTTTATTTATAAGGTGTAAAGTGTTTGAAATATTTAATTTAAAATAAATTTTTCTTTTGTTACTTTTCATAAAATACTTTTTTTGCAAATGTTACAATCTTTAGAATAGGAGCAGTTTATTTATTGCTTTTCTGTAGATAGGGATAGTACGGGATATGCAAAAACGATTTGAAGTAACTTCCGAGAATCTGACCCGACTTATTCCTAAACCCATCCCTGCTGTAGCTCGAATCCCTGACGACCTTTCGATCTTTATATGAGATTGTTAGACAATACTCCGGTCTTGGCTCCGGGATTTGACAATATTGAACTAGGCACCTGTGCTTGGAAACTAGGCACCTGTGCACCTCATAGTCTTGTCCACCTCTAATTTTTGATTCATACTTTTACTTCGTACCCGATACGAGTGCGAGGTACGAGTATGAATTTTGGTACAAGCATCCAAGCACTGCAAGGCACTCGTCTAAGTTAAAACTAGTTTACCTTTTAAAATGTACCAACGTCTTTTATCTTTTTCTAAAACTAGCGAACAGGGCTACTACATATGATATGCTTACAGTATTTTTCTAAAATATTCTCTCCCAGCCTGTTCGCTCCCAGCCGTCTACATTTGCTATTTTAGCTTAAGCTTAAGAGATCTGTAGCCCTGTTCATCTTTTTCAACTAAATATTTCTATTTATATCTTTATTTAACTAATTAAAATCTTTAATAAAAGACCATTAAAAATTGAGGCAATTTGAAAAAAAAAATATTAAAAAACAAATCAAAAAACAAACAAAAAAGTGCAAATAAACGCAACAATTTTCTTTAAAATTTTTTTATTTTAAAAATATTTACTATTTTTTCCGTTTAAAAAAAGATAATCTTTCTTTGAGAAAAATAAATATCCCTCAAAATGTACTTTATTTCCTTATTTTTAATAGTGATGCCATTGAAGAATAGGAAGAATTATGAGCCTATAAAATAACCAAAACCCAAGTTTGAGCCATAAAATTTTGTAGAAATGTCCTTAATAGTATTATGCATATATCTTGTTGACATATTTTAGATTTTTTGGTTAGATATTTGTCAAGTTATGGCAGAAAAGCCAAAGTTTCTTCAAAGAAATTCTCCAAACTTTCTATTAATTTTTTTATTATAACTTCTGTTATATTAGCTATAAAGGTATAAAATTTTATGTAGTTATCCTCACAGGTGTTATTTACCAAATCTAGAATTTACTGAATTTTTGGTCCTCTAATTTTTGTGTTATTGTATAAAATATCGACTCACCCTCGCTAAAAACATTATCTTACTTTTTTATCATATCTTTTGACAAAATAGTCTTAGAATCTTGAAATTTTGGAAGATTCCCTTAAAAAGTGTCAAACAGATCCTCTAAAAATTACAAAAATTTTAGTTTGGTAATTCTTAAGTTAAGACTCAAGAACGCTTCATTATTGTAAAATCATCACTGATTTTGATGATATTTTTGATCAAAACCTTTGAAATAATTGTTCCAAAATTCCGAAATTTTCAGTAAAATTCGCTAATTATATTAAAATGTTTTCTATTATCTATTTAAATTTTTCTCTTTAAACACACAAAATATCAACAAACATGCATATGTCTCAAGAAGCACTTTTAAAAAGTATTTTTTGGTTTATTTTTTTCATTTTTACTACCTAAAGGGAAAAATATTCTCGTCATTTTAATGGCAGGATTGTTTAGTAATTGCAGCAAAAATAATATTGCAGTACCCCTTTTCGAATTCCTTCCAGCTTTACATTTCCTTTCAAGTAATACATATCTTTAACTCAAAACTTGTAATAATTCTTTCATTATGTAAAATTTTGGAAAATTTTTCTAAAAATATTTTTGCATGATTATTTAATAAATTAATTTTACTTGCTAACAATAAGATAATAAGTTAACTCTTGTTATAGTCGGAAATGGCAAATTCCTGGATTCTAATAAATTACATTCTTAAGTTTACATTTTCTCTCTTATAGACAGAAACGGCTAATTTCCGAACTCAGAAATTCAGGTTTTTCGCTTTCCTACACCTAAAAATGCCGACCTATCTCCATTATGGTAAAGAAGGGCATTAGGTCTCAGAAGCAATCCACAAGGATTTTTGTAAAGTCTATCTCTGAGATTTTAATCGACCTCGAAACTTTAATAAACTTTTTCTTCTTACACTTTTCCCTTTAAAAATTTGAAAAAAAAGTTTCAGGTCATTTCAGTTCATGTATTTTTTGCATTTTTTCATGCAATTTTTTAGTAAAATAGATTAGGTCATAAGCCTACAAAAAATCCAATTAGCGTAAAGCCATAAAATTTGTATTTATTTAAATAGCGGAAAATTTAATTTTGTTTTTCCCTAAAACGTGTTCTATAAACATTGAAGCAAAAAATTTTTTAAATTAAATTAAATTTTTAAACCTCTAATTTTATTTCAACTTCGAAAATTTAATTTTTTAAATTTCAACAAACGTCTCCCTTGCAATAAACGAGACTGGCAATAATTGGTCTTTTTGGTTAAGTCGTATAATTTTATGTTTCCTAAAATAAAGGTCGCGGGTTTGAATCCGATCGATGGAAAACAATTTTTACTTCAATAAGGAACATTTATTTGATGAAAAAATTATAAAATTATAATTCTAAAAAATTTTTACAATTAAAAAACAGGACAATTTATCCGAATTTTTATGTTTTTTTTCATTTATTATTTTTTTAAAATTTTGTTCTTTTAAATTTTTCTTCTTTAAACTTTGCATATTTCTTAACATTTAAAACTTAATAAAAAAAGAATCCTTAAAAAATCAGAATAGATTTTGAATATTCTACTCGTTTTATTTATCTTTATAACAATAAAGCTTTGACGCAATTTAAATATTATTTATTAGCTAACTCATAAAAGGTTTCTCTTATTGTCGTCATTTAAGAGGGCAATAAATTCTTTATTTATTTATTCAGACAAAATTAAACCCCAAACTCTTTTAAATTTTATTATTTTTCCAAAATATTTAATTTAAATTTGAGTTTATTCCAAAAGATTACCACTAATATTTAGTAGTGATATTTTGGATTGGGTCTATATTAGCTTACATATTTATTCCTTGTCCTTAGACTTTAATTTTTTTATTTTTTAAAATAAAATTATATTAAATTTAAATTGTTTAGTATAAAGAACAGAACGTCCTTGAGATAAATTAGTAGGTATTTTGAAGAAAAAATTTTTTTTTAATTTTTCGTGAAAATTATTATACCGATTCATAATACCGTTCATACAACAATAATTTGAAAAATTATAACTCCCTGAATTCCTAATCAAAAATTCTCAAATTTTGGTTTATATTAGAAAACACTCTAAAGAATATATATACAAAATTTCAAAGCTTTTTAGTTTATCACAAGAAAGTCTATACTTATTTTTAAAAATGTTAGAAAGGTCTCAGGTTGCCTTCTATTAGAGGAAAAGGGGAAGTTCCCTTTTATTTTTAATTAAAAGGACAGTTAAGGATAAATTTAAAATAAATTTTAAAAATAAAAACAAATAAAATTCACTCAGAATTTAATTTAAAAAACAAAAATCCACTTATTTTTGGCTTTAAACATTTTACTTTCGTTTTTTGCCTAGACTTTGCGAGGTTTTTTTAATAATTTATTAAAGTACATAGACAAATGTATGGAAATAAAACGAAAAGGAAATAAAAAATTAAATTATTTATTTATTGTTTTTTGACGAAATTTTTGAGTAAAATGGATTATTTATTTTTTTTTGCTCTTTTAACTTTTTTTTATTGAATGAATTGTTGCGTTTATTTATTTTTTGGACAAAATTTTATTATATCCCCTTAAGTTTTTGATTTTTAACTAGGGTTGTTGGCGACCGGTTATTAACCGGTACCCCCGGTTTTCGGTTATCGCCGGTTTTCGACCCCCGGTTTTCGGTTCCGGTTTTTGATTTACCCCCGGTTTTTGGTTAACCGGGACCGGTTTTTGGACAAATTTTCATCCAGAATATCCCATTAAGATGTCACATTCTGACGCTTTTAAATAAATATTCGATACACTATAAGCTGAATAATTTACAAATTTCAACAATTCGAGGAATTAACGGGTATATGGCGAGATAAAATTGGCTGATTTTGAATATTAGGAGAGTAGAGGGATTGGGGTATATCGATGACCGGTGGGTGGATTAATATCGATGATCGGGGGATTAAGAGGATGAGAAGTTATCAATGGAGTTGATAAATAATTGTGATTAAGAGGCGTCGTCAAAAGATTTGTACGTTCGATCATGGTTTTGAACCTCACCCCAAGAATATTAAAGTGAAAAATCTTTATTTTTTGCGCCGCAGGCGCAAATTTTGAGAATTTTGGAAGGCTTCTATGCAAAATTCTTGCTTTTTCGGAAAAGGTCAAAAAGGGGCAAAAAAGGAAAGTGGGCAAATGCCCCCTAAAGTTGGCAACACATCAATTGATCATCAACACATCAATTGATTTGAATGGATGAGCCACACATCAATTGATTTGAATCAAACACACATCAATTGATTTGAATGGATGAGCCACACATCAATTGATTTGAATCAAACACACATCAATTGATTTGAATGGATGAGATTTAAAAATAGGATTGCCAAAATGGCCCGACTCGGACTGAAAGATCTATTAACGAAAAGATGTTTGGCACGAAAAAGACTCGTATAGGCCCGACTTGATAAAAAGAAGCCCAAAAAATGCCTTCACCGTCGGCCCGACTTGAAAAAGGCACCCTTATTTTAAAGGACCTTTACCAAGTAAAGTTCATAACTACACCACTTAACCACACATCTCAAATAATAAAGCTCTTAAGAAATTATATTTATCGAAAAAGAAAATGAAGTAAATTATTTGGCGAACTATATTTTGGGAATTAAAATGTCCTAAAATTCACAAAAAATTCTATCTTTAGGGGTGTATCTTTAAAACCGAAACCGGGCGGTTTTGGTCACCGGTTTTCGGTTATCGCCGGTTTTCGACCCCCGGTTTTCGGTTCCGGTTAATTCGCCAAAAACACCGGTTAACGGTTCCGGTTCCGGTTCGGTTAACCGTCCGCCAACAACCCTATTTTTAACGTTCGAAACTTCTTTATTTAGCGTCCTTCCTCATTTTAAACTTCGAAAATTGAATTTTTAAGCTCCTTAATTAGTCTACACTTCCATTAAACAAGAATGGCAAAAATTGGTTTTTGTGGTTAAACTGGATAAATTTCAGATTTTCAAAATTAAAGGTCGTGGGTTCGAATCCGCTCGGAGGAAAACAATTTTTATATTAAAAAGGAACATTTATTTGATGGAAAATTAGCAAATTTAAAAATTTAGAAAATTTTTAAAAATTAAAAAATGACAAATTATCCCAATTTTTATTTTTATTAAAATTTAAAATAATTATTACAGTAAGAAATAATTTAATAAACAAATAAATAAACAAATAATTTATTTAAATGTTTGCTCAACATTTCTTAAAATATTTATGTTTCTCTCTTTTGTTTTTCTCTTTTGCTGAACAACAAAATGTTTTTGCCTCCCAACAAAAACAACAGCCAAAAACAAGTTTATTTAAAACTGAAAGAAATGAACAACAAAAACAACAGCCAAAACCAACAAAACAACCCCCAAAACAAACAAAAACATCAAAACAAACAAAAACAACATTGTTTTCAACAACTAAAACACCAAAAACATTAAAAACAACACAACAACCTCCTTGTCTTTTACAAGATTCTGTTCATAGAAAAAGTGTTTTGACTGATGTTTTGTCGGGGTATGACAAAACTGTTCTTCCTTCCAATGAAAGTGTTGTTGTTAGTGTTGAATTGACTGTTCAGGCAAGTCGTGTTTTTGGTTTGGTAGGTATTTTGTTCATGCAATCGAAAGCATGAGGTGTGATGTTTAGTTTCTTCCCGAGATCATATTTTCTGGCACAACTTATGTATTTCTTGACCTATTTTACTAATTTAAATATCAATCGGAAGCTTTAGATGTGGGGGTTATTTTGCTTAGCAAGGTTATTCGGATCAGATTATTATATTAAAAGTTACAACCGGAAGACTGCGCGTAATCGTGATTTTAGGAATTTTTTGCTTTAACTTTAGATGATATTCTGACTAAATGAACCATGCTATGCAAAATAATCCGCAATCCCAGGCCGGGGAAAGGCGCCAACACAAATTTCAAAAAAACTTAAAGTGACTCAAAATTTTTAGGATATTTCCACTATCTCAGAAATCACTGGTTCATTTGTTGCAGATGTCTGGTTTTCTCAAATTTGGTTAGATCCTCGATTAGAATATTGGAATTATTCGTGTAAATCTAATCTTTCCTTAGACTCATCTGTTGCGGATAAGGTGTTTTATTTCATTTATGTTCCTGTTATAAAGGCACCGGTTATCAGATCAACATAGGAGGGGGGAGGGGGTTCCTTTGGAGGAGGTTATCCAGAAGGTTCGAAGAGGTTGGTTTCGAAAGGCTTGAACATCTTTTAGAAGACCACCTAATTCTTATCCCTGGATATGCTTTTATAACCTGAATTATTTATCAAGTATATTTAAACAGCTTTGGACACCAAATGTTTGTTTTGTTAACAGTAAAGAAACAAAAGTACATCGTTCACCCAGCAATAATGTTTTATTAATAATATATCCAAATGGTAATTAAATAAATATACAGTCGGACCTCATTATAAGATACATTCGATATAAGATACACCTTTATTTAAGATACACATTTTAAGTTTGATTTGCCATAGATTGGCCATACTTTCGATACATACCAAAGGAATGCATCGTTGCGACTTTCGATGAATTTTGCCTTTTTCCATCTTTCGTTTGGCACACCCTGCTACCAATCTATACCTCTCTTTAAGATACCACTCATTATAAGGGAGATTTTTCACCCCAAGGTGGGTATCTTTTAATGAGGTCAGACATAGTTTTTACCTTTATTTAAATTTAATTTTTATACTTTTAAGGCACAATATGGTTAAATTATCGTGTTAGAGTTAGCGGTCCATGTACTTTTACATTGTCCCAATTTCCTTTAGATCATCAAGAATGTGTTTTAATTTTTGAATCTTATTCTTACAATATTGCAGAAGTAAATAAAAAATTTGAAAAATTTAGAAAAAAATTTTTAAAGGTTCGTCTAATATGGCAAGAATGGGCACCAGTTACTATACCTCCACCTGAAGCTCTTCAATTGCCTGATTTTCATTTTTATAATGTTAGCTGGGAGACACAAATGAATGAATACACTGCAGGTAGTTAAATACATAAAGGCAGACATCAGTTACTGAAGATAAATATGAGGCCCGAAAAAAATGACCCGAAAGTCGGCCCGACTCGAAAACGGCAACTCTAATCATCTTATAGTATTAAGATTTTAATGGGATTTTTTGGGTTCGGGGCGTTAGCAAGCACTTGTAAATGGTAAAGTCAATTGTGCTAAGAATTTTTTTTAGCAACTCAGACTTTCCGAACTTGAATAAGATCTAAACATTTTTGTTAATGCGGGAATACAATTATACAATAATTTTGTGCCCATCATCACTTCATTAGCTTAGAAACTTGAGATCATGAGATTAGACACTTGAATAATATTTTCAGGTGCTTGGGATCAATTAAAAGTAACATTTCGGTTTAAACGTTTATATGGCTATTATATACTCCAAATGTATTTACCAACATATTTGTCTGTGTTTATTTCTTGGATAGCTTTTTGGTTAGATTCTCGTGCCTTGCCAGCAAGAATAACTTTGGGAGTATCTAGTCTTATGGCTTTAACTTTTCAATTTGGAAATGTTGTTAAAAACCTTCCGAGAGTTAGCTTTGTTAAGGTAAATAAATTAAAAAGTTTGTCTTGTATAAATAAAGAAAGAAAAAAAGTATGTCAGGTAGAAAAACTCCATCACTCATAAATTTATATTTTACTCCCTATCTAAAATTTGAATATTTTTATTGTATAAGTAAAATAGTATGGTGGTTATTCCAGTTTAATTAAGTATGCGGATTCATATACATATATACTAGTGTACTTGTAAGATTTGAGATGTGCTTTATTTATGATAGAGCTTAAAGTTTTATCTGCCATGATTGTGTTGTTAATACTGACTTATTCAAGGTAGTCGGTATTAATATCCGAAATGCTTTCTCTTTTCGGGCTGATCTCTAGTTTTAAAAATGGTTCAGTTATAAGTTTGCGCAAAGATCAAGCTCTATTCATGATTTATTCTACTTTTTAAGGCAATTGATTTGTGGTTTTTTGTTTGTGTATCCTTCATTTTCTCATCTCTAGTTGAACTGGCAATCGTTGGATTTGCAGAAAAACGATCGGATCAGAAACGACAAAAGAGTAAGAAAAGTTGGAGGAAACAAACAATTAAAAATAACAATAATTCTACGATAAAAAGGTAGAGATTTTAAATTAAGACGACTGAAGACAACGACAGCTGGAAGTTTATAACACCCTATTAATCATCAATTTTAGCTTTGCTTCAACATCTTCAGACTCCACTTGTACAAACCCAAATTTATATTTGCCAAATTCAATTACACAAAATGGCCATTCACCTATTGTAATTGATAAATGGCCGGAAGGACCACAAAAAGCTGCTCTATTTAACAAAGTTTCTCGTTCATTATCTCCTAGGGAAAGGAGAAAGCGGTATAGCTTGCTGGAATCTCCGAGCAGGTAACTGAAAACATTGCAGACCTCTCTATAGGATACACCCCTCACTAGAAAGACCTAAATTTAAACATTTCAAATTTGGTTGGTTACGGCTGGTGGAAACTGCCTAAGGCTACGTTTGCAATAGATCTGTTGAGTGTCAAAGTGCTTTGTTCCGCGTATTTTGTTTCATTGTATTGACACTTGTCACGGATGATTTTGTAAACACTATGAAAACAAATAAGATACGAGGTTTCAGTCCCAAAGGGTTATCTAAAATTTAGGCCAGGGTGTATTCTAATCCTTAACATATCCCTTTTTAATAACTAATATAATTCATAAATAGTATTGATGAATCACCATATCAATCCAAAGCAGACGATTTAAGCATTAAAGTAGATTCTTTTGCTGCAAAAATGTTTCCCACATTGTTTGCTTTATTTAATGGTAGTAATTATATTTTAAGAAAAATTTATTTCAATTTTTTCAGCTTTATATTGGTGGTATTATTTAACAAGGCATTGAACAAAGAATTTTTTAATTTGATTCTCATCTGCCTTATTATATTTTATTTAAATTTTAATATTATTATTACTCTTATTTTTAATAAATTTTGAATAATTAAAAGTTTTAAATTAAATATTTGCCCTTTCTTATACCATCTTATTAATTACACTCAATTTTTATTGGGAACGGGGGATTTGAATAGTTAACGACGGGGATGAAATGAATAGTTAACGTAGTTGGAGCGATTAATTTGGATTTTGAGGATTTGACAACTTTACTGTTAACTCTTTTTAACGCCCTGGCAAAAGTTCAGTGGTTTTATAAAATAAATTTATTTTATTAGCGCCGCAGGCGAAAATTTTTAGATTTTTTGATGTTCAGGACGATAGAATTTACGAAAAATTGATTGAAAATAGTCAAAATTTAAGAAAAATCTTCAAAAACCTAAAATAGGTCAAAAATGTCGAAATAGGCTCAAAATAGGTTTTAGGTCCGTAAAGGCCGAATTACGTTTTTTAGGCTCTAGTAACTCAACAAGTACGCAACAGTGTTTTTTCGACTTATCTCATCATGGGCTGCTTGCAAAAAAACAGGTAAAAACCTAAAATGACACACTTTATTTTTAGAAAAAACTCCTAACGTAACAGTAGTATATACCAGAGTTTAAAACATTTTTTAACAAAAATATTTTAAAACCGGTATAAATAAAACTTTTGAGAATAATCTTCATATCAAGTCTCAATCTGAGGAACTGCCCGAATCTCCAAGAACGTCGATTTAAGTTATGTTCAGTGTGAATTCCCACTTGGTCCAAAACTTCTTCAAAAGATCCTTACAATTCAGAGCATTGCCCAATGTACGCTCGAAAAAGGTTTAACAAATCGATAAGGTATCGTTGGTTTTCCATAAATAATAGATAAACAATAATTGAAACTCATAAAGTCAAAGCATTTACCAGATTTGCACTCTACATTATATTTGTAGATATTTTTCAGTAAAAATAAAAAAATTATTTAAATTTTAAATATTTTAATTAAATTATTTTAAGGGTCGTTTATGGAAGGCATGTCTGTATAATTTTTTTATTTACTTTTTATTTTTCAGGGAATTGTTATTCAAACTTTCACTCGTATTTTATTATTTGCGGTATTGTTTAATGATTTATGAAATAAAGATAATGTGTGAATTTTAAATATTTAAAAAAACTTATATAAAAGTGGAAACAGGGATCGGGAATTCCCGGTTTTGCCGATCCGTATGCGGCCGGTTAATTTTCATTTCTCGTTTCTGTTACGTCCCCGTTTACGTCGACAAACACAACAGAAAGTTTATCACACGTAGAAAATACAAAGAAGATTAAAATTGGGGTAGGAAAACGGAATAAGACTGAGAAAGCTAAATAACTGTTGGCTGGCTTTTATACTAAACTCATTAAGGGCTGTCGCCCATACACAACACCTCCCACTTGGAAAAAGGTTCGGCTTTCACTTAAGACCGAAGCTTTACAATACACTTACAATTTTTCCAGCCAAGGAGTCTCAAGGAGTTACTTGTTGAATATGTATATAAATTTGATCACAGCTATGATCATAGCTATACATAGACAACATTTGGATTGGAATAAAACCAATAAGTTAAATACTAAAAAGGTTGTATAAAATGCCAAAATAGGTGACAATAATAGGAAAATAGGTCGCAAAAATGGAGAATAGGTTACATAAAAAGGTTGAAAATGTGGTCACAAAAGACAGTGGATGATTAACAAATTTTAGTTTAAAAATTTAATTGGTAAAAAAAATAGTAAAATATTTTTAAATCTCAAAATTATCATTAAAAAATTATAATAAAAAAAGTTCTTGAATTTTTAAGAAAATATTTTTCCAAAACTTGAAAAAATTTTTGTTTAATAAGAAAAATTGTCAAAATTTTTGAAAAATTGTAAAGTTTTTCAAAAAATTTTGAAAATTTTGATAATAAATCGAAATTTTATGAAAAATGCCCAAAATACGTGACAAAAATTTGAAAAAATTATAAAAACATCCAAAATAGGTTACAACCTATTTTAGGTTCTAAAACGCCAAAATAGGTTCAAATAGCTAATAATAACTCCCCGTAAACTAAAGATATTTAAAAAATAATAACGGATTTGAGCTCATTTAATCGGGACTATTTCGCAGAGAAAATAGGTTATAACCTTAAAATCCGATCCCAACAAATAACATATAAAATATTTATATTTATATTTATATTTATCAACATAAAAAAAAAGTCATCGAAAGGGCGTGCCACTTACTCCGACAACAATGTCGTAGTGTGGCACTTAAAAGAAGCAATAAATATATAAAAAAAAAACAGCAAAAAAACAATAAGTCAATAATAATTAAGGGAAAAAAAAACACATATAAATTTATATTTAATTGATTTATTTGTTTAAATAAATATACTCCGTACCGACTATTTTACTTATTTAAGGTGCTTTAATAGAAAACATAAATCAAAAATCTAAAAAGAAGGTCCATTAATTTAATTTCTGTTGCAATTTTGTCAAAATTTAAAGAATTAATTTCTTCAACAATTTTGCTGCGTTTTTCGTTGTTTGTCATATTTGCTGCAAAATTTAAAGGAGAAAATTCTGAAGAATTGCGCTTAGACATGTCAAAAGAATATTACCCAATTAAATGCCTTTTTTAAAAATTTCCTTAAAGAAAAAATATTGTTTAAAAAATAAAAATAAAAAATGATAAATTTCAATAAAAATTAAGAAAAAAGGGAAAAAAACAGTTCTGATTTTATGAATCATCAAAAGAGAAATAGCACAAATGATAGAGAGAAGAGAAAAAAAAATACTAGTATGAATTGTCATTTAAATAAATTTTTTAGATAGAATGCCAAATTATATATTAGATTTACAATTTAAATATTTTTTTAGATATTTTTAGGATTTGGAGATATTTTTAGGTTTTAGGATTTGAATTTTTTTTTAGGATTTAAAAATGTTTTCTCTATCACCTGCGATTAACCTTGATGATCTATAATATTTTAATTTAAAGCAGTTATTCTCTAAAAACAAGCCAATTTTTATATTCGAAATTTAATTTTAAAAAAAATATAAGGGAGGATTGGCAAAAATGAAGTTTTGAATTTTTTTAGATATAATGTTAAATAATAAATTCATTTATCAATTTGAATATTTCCTTGAGGGTGAAAGAAAAATAGAGAAAAAATATTCAATATTTAGAGCAATAGGCCTTTTTTTAATAGTTTGTAATTTAAGGGAATTTACGAGAATTGATATAAATTTGATCACAGCTATGATCATAGCTATACATAGACAACATTTGGATTGGAATAAAACCAATAAGTTAAATACTAAAAAGGTTGTATAAAATGCCAAAATAGGTGACAATAATAGGAAAATAGGTCGCAAAAATGGAGAATAGGTTACATAAAAAGGTTGAAAATGTGGTCACAAAAGACAGTGGATGATTAACAAATTTTAGTTTAAAAATTTAATTGGTAAAAAAAATAGTAAAATATTTTTAAATCTCAAAATTATCATTAAAAAATTATAATAAAAAAAGTTCTTGAATTTTTAAGAAAATATTTTTCCAAAACTTGAAAAAATTTTTGTTTAATAAGAAAAATTGTCAAAATTTTTGAAAAATTGTAAAGTTTTTCAAAAAATTTTGAAAATTTTGATAATAAATCGAAATTTTATGAAAAATGCCCAAAATACGTGACAAAAATTTGAAAAAATTATAAAAACATCCAAAATAGGTTACAACCTATTTTAGGTTCTAAAACGCCAAAATAGGTTCAAATAGCTAATAATAACTCCCCGTAAACTAAAGATATTTAAAAAATAATAACGGATTTGAGCTCATTTAATCGGGACTATTTCGCAGAGAAAATAGGTTATAACCTTAAAATCCGATCCCAACAAATAACATATAAAAGAAGAGAAATGAATGAAATATATCAGAAATAAAGCAATAATTTGAAAAGAAATGTAAAAAGATAAAAAACCAAGACCAAAAAAGAAAACCAAAACAAGACCAAGACAAACACACCAAGACCAAGACAGAAAAACCCAATAAAAGTCTTGGTTCCAAGACCAAGAGTCTCGGACATCTCTAGAAATACATAATATAAAATGAATTCAATAAAATTCATCCAACGTTACCAAAAGAAGGTCTTTAATTGTATATCACATTAGCTACATTTTCGAGGAATTTTGCTTTCTGCGATTTTTCGTTGAATTCATAGAGTATTGCACTTCTAAGTTCCTGGGCGTTGTTATAGTATTTCCTTGAAGTTAAATGACAATTTTTAAATTTATCCATGTTCTTTAAAAATGAAACAGGGATTATAAGCAGCGCTCAGTTAGTTTAGATCGACGAGCATATGCAGTAGGGACATTTCTTTATTAAAAGAAGTGAGGGCGACTCAACCGTTCCAAAAGTAGGAAACTTTGAACCCCTATAACTTTTCGAAATGGGGATTTTAGTATCGGCCCCTTCAGCAAGAGGGAGTCCTTATTCGTATTTAAATCCTTTTAATTTGAAGTGAATAAAAATCCTACGTGCTAATGGTTCTCCCTTTAATCCTCACCAAATCAGCCATCATTTATTAAAAATAAATCTGCTCAAAATGTTCTCTATAGGCTATTTAGGTTTAAAATTTTATTTGCTTTAAGCTCAATTCACTTTATTTAGCGATTATAATTTAATCGACATACTCATCGTTTAGAACTAA